ACATTGAATTTGGACTTACAAACCTCCCTCCTCTCCCCCTTTTCTTCCAACCATGAGCCTGCTTTGTTTGCATTCCTATCCATGTTTCTCGGAGGAATCCTGGCCTCTGATTAGGTCTCTTGCAAGCAAATTGAGAAGCATCCCAAATTCTGGACTATTCCTTGCATGGTTAAAAGAGAGAGGAAAGTGGAGGTTAGGTTTGGATCACCACAAAGGCATTTTAGAGAAACACAGTGGAAGTGGAAGTGGGTTCAGAAGGGGTGTGAGTCGGTAAAAATTCCTTTGAATTATTTGGAGAAAAGATGTTTTAAAACAATGGAGGGCCTTTGGGGTTCTCAGGCTCTGATCTCCTTCCACAGAGCAGGGCACACTGAATTTAGGAAACACTGTTTAATAACAACTCATCAGCCTATCAGGGTTCAAGGAAGGTTTGTGCAACTTGCTAAGTTTAATTATGTCAAACAACATGTCAGGTAATTCAGTAGTTTCTTGAATTTGACAGACATGGATTGTTCAATTATTCCAGACCACTTTCAGGGCAAGAGTGTAAATCACATGACAAATCATTATACTTTTCACAGGATCACAGACTCCTCTGTCAAAAAACTGCCCCACTTTTAAAAAATGCCTTTGTGATACACACATGCCACACCAAGATACTGAAAGTTATGATTGCGAGTGCAGTGCAAAAAGTTTAGGTTTTCGAGGTGAATGGCTTCAGATCAAGAAAGCACCGTAGACGGGAGGCAGGAAGAACTGACAGAGGAGAAAGGAGACTCACGAAAAATGCTATAGTAAGAGAAGCAAAGGAACAGAAAGAAAGATAATTGTGGAAAATTTTGAGGCAGAAGTAAAAGAGAAAGAATTCAAACAACATGAAGTGTAGGAATGGACCCCAGAATGCAGGACATGCAACAATGGGCTAAAGTTACAGGAAGCAAGATTTCGGTTGAATATCAGAATAAAATCCTATCTGTTAGAGCAGTCCAACAGTGAAACCAATGACCGCAAAAGGTAGTAAGTACTCCCACACTGAAACTTTGACAACTACCTGGCAGGGATCCTTTGCTTTCTATAAGTTAAGTACCCTAGGATGCTTTGACTTGTTATGTTGTTGACCTTTGACTCTGAGTTAGAACTTGTAAATCATGTTAGAGTTGTTGTAACGTGGATGCAACTTGACACACATAACTTCCAAATTGTGTCAGCACCTCTCTTGTAAAGAAGCTCAACACTTCCACACTCACACAGTCAGGATTCCTATTTCCATATTTCAGGTAGTCTAAAAAGACTTAGTTGGAATCAGATCATTTATTAGTTTCAAGGCAATTTTCATAAAATGATTAAGTTAAAATCATGATAAAACCATTGAAGTAAAAGACGCAATTGGTGCAGACAAAGAATCACAGAACACGAGGCAGGGAGATCCACGCATCACATTCACTCTTTGTCACTATCTTCCGATATGCAGATGCATGCATTACCCCAGTTGACTGGCTCCTTCCTAATGTAGAATGTGCTCGGGAATGTGGGGTTTGTGAACCTTGGGAGGAAGAGAACATTTCCTCCAAAGGATTTCCACA